TTGATAACTGAATGCTCTTCTTTTTTCCCTGCCTAGACTGCATGCTTATAGCCCATTTGTTATTGGCTCAGGTTCTGTGGATCGTTACTATAACTATTTGCAACATACACACATATGTTCCATTAGACATCTGATATTTCAGACTTCTTGTGTTCTGTGACTTCATAGCACCACCTAGCGTTCACTAGATTATTAGCAGGCTTTTCTATCGAAATCATTATTTTTTTCCTTTCAGTTTCCTTCCTGGAAATTAGTACTTCTTGCTTCATTAAAAGCAGGTGTAAAATTCTGGCAGAATTTGAATTGTCCCTGTGAAGCGTTGGCACAAATCATTCCAAGTTACATCAAACTGTTGTTTCACATCAGTAGCAGAAATGGCTTAATTGAGGTGCACAATCGCTGGCCTTAGGGCCATGCCATCATTTATATAACCTTTAATGTGAGAGAAGGTGGGAGATATTAAGAAATGGAGTGTAATCATATTAACTGTGTTAATTATATTTGATTCATCTAAGTCAATTTAAATTATATCCAATCAAGTTAAGTTATTGTCTTAGCCATGCTTACTTCTTCACCATGTACCTAGTTAAGTTTTGAAAAACAATGGCCAGGTCAGCATTCAGCCCACCCCAGATTTTTGCACATCCAGCTTATACATGCCTGGTCTTTTGAATCAGATGGAGAAGGTTTAGCAGTGATCATAGTCAGAGGGCTGGACACTGAGCTGAAGAAGAACTATCATTAAGCTAGAAGCAAGTTTATTGAAGCTGCTGCATTAGCAATTTTTAGGCATCTGAGTTTAAATATTTTCTGGATGCCCCTCTCTTATTAAAAAATACTGGGGATTTGATCCTGATAATATTTGTTGTAAAGCTTCTCTTCTTGAGTAGGATTCCAATATGAGGTGCCTAGTACAGCTTGAGCGAGCACACAATTTTGTTGGACTAACCTTAAGTTGTCGAAGTGCAGTTGTTGAAGCCTTGGTAGTGACTGGGGACTCCAGAGTGAAGAGTTGAATGTCTAGGAGTTTCTTCTGGTATTCTGTATCTTTCTGCTTCCAATTCTTTTTGGATTTTATGGAGTGGTCTTGCTCTGTTTAGGATGGATTGCTGCAGGAGGTAGGGGCTCCTAATAATAAATCAACTTAAGATTCTTGACTCAGACAGTACAACAGGTAATCTTCATTTAGCAACCACAATTGGGACCTGCAACTTGGTCATTAAACGAAGTGGTCACTAAGTGAAAGTGCAACTGCGCTTATGATACTTCAGCTTTCATTTGCTTTACCAATCTGCAAGGGTCATAAATGCAAAGATTGGTCATAAAGTTACTTTTTCATCACCGTCGCAACTGCAAATGGTCACTAAACAGGGCAGCTGCTAAACGAGGACTGCATTAAAGTATATTTGCCATTTACCCAGTTTAAAGAGGTTGCTTTGAAAATGTTTGAATATGCAGTTTACACAATCATAACTTTATTGGTATCATCCATAAATTTGGTCATGCTGCTACTCAGTTTATTTATGAACTATTTAAAAACATTAAAACTCTGGTACAGCTCCTTGGGGAAACCCACTTTTGCCCTCTACACTTTAAAGTTTGTCTACCTGTTTGTAGTCTTTGCTTCCTGCTTTTGTTCCAACAAAGAATCCATAAAAAGTATATACAAGCTCCATAAAAATATCTGTCCTATCTCCTATGATTGCTACATTTAGTCAAGAGCTTAGAAAGTCCAACTATAATATGTCTATATAAACTTGTCTTTTGAAATACTTAGCAGTGCCCAAGAATGTAAAAGACCAGTAAAATAGGTTTTACCATTGCGTTAGCCTTGCCAATTACTCTTACTGTTATACATAACTTCTCATTTATTCTTAAGAACAATTTCCATGAATTTTTATGGAACAGACATTAAGCTAACTTACTTATATTCCTGAATCCTTCTTAGATTCCATTTTTAGACATCAAAGTTACATTAACTACTTCTCAGAGTTCTGTTAGGGTGGCTAATATTGAAAAGAGGTATGATTTTTTATTGAAATATCATAAATATCACTGTGTCTGGGGCTTTCTTTGATGGAAACACAGTGCAAAACTCTATTTCACTGGGTTTTTTAAAAAACTTTTTTATCTAGTTTTGATATCCAAGTCATATTCTTTAGCAAAGCCAGGCTCTCCCACCTTCTTCTCTCCATTTCAAAATAATGGAATAAAGTTCCTTGCAATTCTGAACCACAGAGGGATTGAACTTTTTTTTGTAATCCTGAATATTATGTTTCCTTCCTCAATATGTGTATACTCTACAATGTTGGGTGCATTGTCCTACTTACTTTCTAATTTAAATTAAATAAGGGCTTACAGGTTCTGATGGCAATTTTCCCTCTGTGAGTCAGGCTGGCAGCTAACTTTTTTTTTTTTTTTACTAGTAATCCTTTCACTTTCCATCTTCTTGACTCCCACCAGGGCCATCCACATTGGGTATACAGCTCCCACAGCACCACCTCCTCTTTGTTCAGCTCACTTCTCCAGACCTGCTAACAAGCCTTCAGCAATATAAAGACTGCCTAATCCAACTCAGGTTTGCTAGTCCACGTCGTTCTTTACTAAACCCATAGATCTTCCACAGCTGTCATTATTACTCTTCCGTGTCCTCTTCCCAGTTCTCCTTCCCCAGAAGTCTTCTAGCCATTTAAAACTCCACCTCTAGTGCCAGCCCAACATCTGTACCCTTCCTCCTCTTTCCTATGGAAATTCTTCCTATAAGAAATTAAACTGTACACTCTTCTCAACTTCTCTTATCAACTAGCTACCTAGCACAAAATGCTTGGATTTCTGCCTGGATATGTGAAGAGCCAGGAAGCCAAGGCTGAATGCAGGCTCTCCCAGTCACATTTGAATTCCTTAAGAATTTCCAAGTGGTTACCATACATTTATTCATTTTTAGTTTTTTTTTTTTTTTTGTTCTCTAAAACTTCATCTCTTTCCTTATTGATTTGAGTCAGCTCTTCAGGCTAATTCTAGAAAATACTGCTTCAGATACAGATGCCAGTCCTGTTCTTCTGCACAGTAAAGGAAAGCAAATAATTGCAGCTTCTGTGTAATCTCCCTAAGTAATGTTAGGACATCTTTTACTTTTATTAATGGCTAAGCCCTCTTTTATATGTAAGGAAATCAATGGTTGGGGTTTTGGAGGAGCATTATTATCTTTAAATTCCCCCCTCCTGATTGCATTAACATTTGATTTGCCAGAATTTGTTTTTTACTGGACAAGATTTCCATTTTCAGAAGGAGGTCTTCTGACTTTTATACTTTTCTCGGTTCCAGTTCTTTTGGTCTTCATTGCACGTTCAAGCATTTTGGAGTGACTAGATTCTTTTTATTCTCCCTTTCGATTTCCTCTGATTGTTAGCTGTCTTCTCTTTTGAAGTCTGTGCTTTTAGTTTTCCACTTCCATTTAAACTACATTTACTAGTAGTGTGATATTTGTTCGCTTCGTATATAAATGTGGCTTATATGCTACTTAGTATTCATATATCCTGGCCCTCTCCACTCCAGATGTATTGGATTCATAGAGTGCTAATTTAGTATTGTCCTCCTCCAACTCTCTCTCTTTTCTCCAACTCTTTAGCTACTTCCATTCATTAGCAAATTTTATATAATCCAAATTTGGGTCACTTGGAATATTTGTGCCCTGAATTCCTTTCAGATTATTTGGCCTGCACAGAAGGCTCCCCAGTTCTTGCTGGCTTTCCTCTAGAGTTCACTTCAAAAGCAGATCTGTGCATTGGTTACCCCTTTAAAGTGCATCTCTCTAAGAATAAGCACATCCGAAAAATTTCTGTGCATATCGGATGCAATTGGTTGCAGCGGATATTATTCCATATTCACAGCTTCTTTCTTTCTCAGGCTGACCAGAATAATTGGTGTGAAATTCCTCCGTTTGATCTCCAGCTGACGTGTTTTGCTCTCCTACCTATTTGGAAGGATTACATTGCATATGTGAACAGGAACGGGAGTGGAAAATCCAGGGTAGTTGGAACACACCTAGCAAAGATGAGGTTTATTTGAAAAGTGTTGTGTTTTAGGCCCAGAGTCTGTTTCATCATTTTTTATTTAAGAATTCATGCCTCCCTTGTTCCAGCATGTAGTTTGCTATCACATTATACATATATGATGTTAAAATCTAGTTCCACACTTGGTTTTTGTTAACAGAGAGTGAAATGTAACTATTTTTGTCAGGAGTAATAATACTGTTTGTGAAACTCTGTTTAGCTTTGAATGTATTGTTAAAGATAAGTACTGTAAAGATAAGTAAAGTTAGAAATTACTTAGCAAAGAATATACCCTGGATTGATGATACATGTTCACATTCTGCTTATGGACCAACTGTGTATAAAAATAAAAAAAGACTGTCCTATATTTGTGATCGAGTGTAATGCTGTTGTTTTTTTTTAATGTTGTCTCTACATGTCCAATAATACATTTTAATCCTTTTTTCTTTTCATTTTGTTTCTGATTTCTATATAAAATAAAATTTTTAATGTTTTTTTTTTTTTTAAAGAAATCACTTTGAGGAGGAATTTGTGTGATGTGCAAAGATTTTGGAAAGCAAGTTACATGAGGAAAGGCTGAAAGGTTTATGCATTTTTACTCTGTAGTGGAAAAGAAAATAAGTTGATAGTTTTAAACATAACTACAATAATACCAGAAAAGTGGGAGCTAAAGATATCTAACAGAAGATTACAAGCATCGTTACCCAAGTGTAGCGCCCAAATTTGGGGGGAAAGGCCACAATAGAAAAACTGATGTTACAAAACAACACAACAACTAGAAGCTTGAAATAAAGGATACGCCCCTAATTTGAAAGCCACATCAGTTTCTTGAGAATGATTATGCACCCACATATGTGCAGCTTCTCTTGGATTTTTAGGGCTCTGTAATGAAAGATAGTTGGTTATTCCTCTTTGATGCCTGATTTTATCCAGTGGTATATGTTGCAGGTAACTCCCCATCAGATGAATCTGAAGAACGTGAGCGAGATCCCAGAGTCCTCACTTTTCCAGAGTACATTGCCAGTTTGTCAGAATCAGGGACCAAACGTATGGCAGCTGGAGTGCGCATGGAATGCCAAAGCCGGGGCCGCTGCCCTTTCTCCTGTCCTTTATGTCATGTGACCTCTAGCCCAGATGCTGTGGCTGAACCCATCCTCCTGGAGGTCACAAAAGCAGCACCCATCTATGAGTTAGTCATCAACAATCAGACTCAGAAGGTGAGTGGTTTAACAGTGATGAAAGGAAGATTTTAGCCTCAGTGGGGTCTGAAATATGCTCTTTAGAGAGCATTTTAAGGGCACACAAAATAAATCTTCTATGACTTTTTCTGAGAATCTCAAATTTTGAAATTAATTAGATAGTTTGGAGGGGAGAAAGGCAAGAGAGAAGGAAAAGCAGTGCAGGAAGGCATGCAATGACATTTCCAGGTTTCTTTTTAAAAGCATAATGACTCAAAACAGCGTGAAATTTAGGATTCAGCATAGGGATACTTATTAATGCTCCTCAGTGATTTTCTCCTTGCCTTTTGGAGTTCCTGTAACCTGATCTTGTTTGCAGAACTGCAGTAATCTGTTAATTAATTTGTATTCTTCCATTTTTTAATTCTGAGGTTTGTTCAGCTCACTGAACATATGCAGGTTTGCTAACCATGGCACAAACAAAATGGAAACAGGAACATCTGCTTGCACAGATTCTCTGCCTGGGTAGAAAAATAGAGTTGTTTGGAACATGTGTATGCATAGAAATACACATATTACTTTAAGATAGCTCCAGAATCCTCAACACTGTACACTGCAGCTCAAAGTACTATCCAGAATACTTGATAGAATGAATTCCACTTTGAAGTCTTCAAGAGGAGGAAGATATCACCTGATCCACAATAAGAAACCAGCAAGTGAAACCATGTCCATGACACCAGGGTTCTCTGCCAAGTCTGCTAAGCCCCCAAATCTTCCTTTCTCTTCTTTCTCATGCACTTTTTCTGCTGCCTAGCTTATACTAAAGAAAATATGTGCAGTATCATGGCTAAATCTCTCTGCTACATTCTTATTCACCACAGCAGGACTATAGAGGTCTAGTGCATAAAATCAGTGTGGTGAATAAAGAACAAGGCATTTCTTGTTTATTTCTTAGCTCAGCCACCAACTAATTATGTAATAATAGGTATGTTATGGAGTCTCTAAGCAAATATACTACCTCCTGTACAATAACCATTTGTGTGTTTGCTGAGACACATGATGGCATGAAATTTAGGTTTCAGCATAGGGATACTTATTAATGCTCCTCAGTGAATTTCTCCTTGTTGAGAAAATCCTCAAGGATTTCAATCCTGAGGTTGAGTCAGATCCTCTTCTCTTTATTGTTTCAGGTTTGTTTGTTTTTCCTGTATTTTAAATTTTGTATTTGTGTTTTATTGGTCTGGGACCATAAATACAATGAAATGAAATGAAAAATGAAAACTGCTTATGTAGCCTTTGGTAAGCCACTCTGAGCTTCCCTATATTATCAATAATATGGAAAAATATTATTGGGATAGCTGGTGTGGGTCTTCCGGGCTGTGTGGCCG